AATCTATGAGAACATTGCTTGCTTTATGTTCTGTAGATTACCGCTTTTTCACATTCTTCATGTAGATAGTGCAATCTCAAAGTTACTCCTTTGATGATTTTGAATCTTTGTGTCCAGTTTAGTGGTCCATCGGGCTGTTATGGAGATATTTTTCTAAAACTTCCATTTGGCATGAAGTCATAGACTAGAAGAAGCTCTCCTTTTCGTCTAAATATCCCAAAAGAGATACGAGATTTCTGTGCCGAAAATGACCATAACTAACAATTTCTGCAACGAATTCTCTCATGCCTTGCTGCGATTCATGCGACACTTTCTTCACAGCAATGTCAACTTTTGATTTTGGCATTGTTCCTTTATCTACTCTACCAAATCCACTGGCTCCTAGAAGCTCCTTATCCTTGAATCCCTAGTGGCAACGTAGAGGTCTTTGTATTCAAACCTGTGAGCACCAATTTCTTGCTCCCACTTCTTCCTGAATCTTAAAAAACTCCTTTTCTTGTATATATAATAAACTATAGATATACTCACAAGAAAAATCAAATAGAGTGAAAGCAAAGGTAACCCAATTAGCAGGCTTATAAATAGTAATTTTCTCCCACCAAGTCATGGTAACTTGGGGAGTTAAGAAATAACAAGGTTTTGAGCCTCCCCAATGAGCTTAAAACCCCAGCGACGAACATAATGAGAAGTTAAAATAGACCCAGTTGAGGAAGAGAATCCTACATAACTGGGATTGTTTATAATCTGAGAAGATCTTAGGACAACGTTAATAATGGGAGTTCAGGTTTTTCAATGTTGATTGGAGCTAAGGTGACACTAATTCCTTGTTACCTCCTCATAGGCCACCTAGACCTGCATTGGAAGGCTACTGATAAGATCAGGTTCTAAAACTGAGACCCTTACCATAATATCCTGCAAGAGTAGAATTGGTGGACTTCAAGCTGTTAATGTCAATTCCAACATGGTTTATCATTGATATCATCGAACTCTCTGTCTGGTTGGATGTGTGAGTTCTACCACAAACACATGGTTTTTTTAGGTTGCCATTGCTGGTGTCATTGAAGAGACCCAAGTATTGATTGGGTAAAACACCTAGACGTGCTTCTGTAGGAGAAATTAGAAAAACATTCCATGACCACTCAAAGTTGGGTATTCAGATCTAATGGCGAAAACAAAATTATAGAGAAAGAAGATGTGTCAGTGAATGCTATTGGATTGGAGTAGAAAGCATGAGCTGCCTTGTGTGTTTCATTTGTGAGTTAGAGTAAAGCCACTGGGGGTGATCTCAGGATGCCCATCCATAGTTAAATGAGCTGATTAGAACCCAGTGTTGAAAATGAAACTTGTATCTTCACCATTCACTTGTGCCATGGATGTCAACAGCAAAAACACCAGAGCCACAAGCTTCACGATCACAGATATATTTCTGGAATTATCTGCTGTCTGTATATTCCTTGTACAAATAGAATCAAAGTTTCTTCCTTTTGCAGGCAATGATTGCTTTGAAGGGCAAGAAACAAAGGGCTGGTTTTGGTCCATTTCATGATTAAGATAAGATTCTTGAGAAGGATCTTATAGACTCGGTCTTTTGAATTTAATTGGCATCCTCTCTTCAAACTCCAAAGTTGTGATGAATTGGGATAGATGGGCAGTTATGTGAAATTGGTGTGAATTCTCATGGTGGTTTCATGGAAATGGAGTTGGGAGACTCTGTACGATAGTATGTGTCACGACTCAAAATGATGAAGAGGGGCCCACAATGCACATCTATCCCATTCAGTCAAGGAATAAAATAAAATTGAGAGACTGATTACATAAGTCAGTCCTCCTTCCAAGTTCCCACCGCCAAAGGCTCAGAATTGAACTCTTTTACGTAATTCATGAATGTTGATCCCAAGTTTTCTTATGCCTTGATTTAAAAATAATTTGCAAGATCGGATGATAAATCATCTCCTTCATTCTTGGGAATATAGTTCAACTTACTGTAACAAGGATTTGTTCCATATATATATATATATATTAGGTTTGATACGTGAATCTGTTGGGTTAATATCTATCCTTGGTGGATGAAGTTAAAAGATAAGCTTACATTAAAGAATGTGGCTTTACTAGAAATATGGAAAGGTCTGGGATTAAAATAGTAATATGCACAGGGTCGTGTGCAATTTTCCCCATTTCTTTGAAATTAGTGTGACGACAGTTATTGTTACTGTATGCATGCAGGATGAGTTAACTCCCGCGGATGTAGGCAATTTAGAAGCGAAAAACAAAAGTGTGAAACAGATTCACCTCCCTGTGTTCTTCAGCATTAAGTCTTTTCCTCTGTTTTTTTCTTTTTTCTCCTGTCTCTCCCATGGTGAATTTGCGATGAGTCTGAATTGAGTTTGCACAGTAACTCCGTTCACGTATAGAGATGTATCATCTAGTGCAACTAACAGGCACGCTATTGGACTTTATAAATCTACAGGATCACACACAACGGGCATTCAAATTAATTTGGAGAGGGTGATGATGATATTTGTGATGGAATAAAAAAACTATAAAATCCAGCTTTCACTGCAGAAAACTGGGAGTGAAAAATTGATTTTTGCCTTTTACTTTCCAGCATACAAAAAGTTGTTCTCTTTTTAATATTATGAACGACTCATCTCTTCTACTATTCATTTTCCATGACCTCAATATATAGGAAGGAGTTATGTACAAATTACAAGGCCCATTTTCTTTTTGTTGGGCTAACACATCAGAACCTACTATTTTTTTGGGCCTCACTAGTCCATGCTATTCAAGGAAAGAAAACAACAAAACTGAGATCAGTCATTCCCCCGAGAAATATCTGCTCTCTAAAAATTCGCCGAGAGGACTAGTTCTACCTTGAATTCATGCCTTAAAATATTGAGAGAATGACAAATAAAGATTTTATAAAATTATTAATATTAAATTAAGAGTTTTAGTACTAAAACATGATAGAAAGAGTACTAAAATTTATGAATGTCAGTATTAAAAAGATCATAACTTGATAACAACAACAACAACAACAAGCATTATCTTACTAGTGAGGTTGGTTACATGATTATGTGACGCATTGTGCTCTATTATTTATTAAATTTTTAAAAATATATTAATTAAAAAGTATCGCTCAACAACTTTCAGAAGTGTTCTCTTCGGTCTTCTTTTACCTTTCTTAACAGGGCTCAAGGTCATCTATTCCACTTTCCTCATAGATGCCTCCCGGTTTTTTTTATACATGTCCGAACCACCTCAAACAATTTTTTACCATTTTTTTCAATAAGTGCCACACCTACTTTTTCCCGTATTTGCTCATTTGGAATTTTGTCTCTATGTGTGTATCCATGCATCCATCTCAACATTTTTATCTCTGCTACTCTAACTTTATACTTTTGTTATTCCGTCAAAGCTCAACATTCACTATCATATAAAATTGGTAGTGTATAACAATTCGATAAAACTTTCCATTAAGTTGAAAAATCTTAACTTGACATTAATATTTTAACAATGTCCTTATTTGTCATTCTCCCAAAAATATTTAGTTTTCACGTAATCTCAATTTTTTATTGATATATACAAAATATTCATTTTAGTGTAAATTGATTGAATAAATAAATAAAGATATAAGAGTTAATTAACTGTAGAGCTTATCTAATAACTTGTCAAGTTCGTGACAGACACCCCCATTAGGACTCGAAAATTTCCAATTTAAAAGCAAAACGTGTTGATACATATACATACATATACATACACATGCATGCATGCATGCATGCATATATATATATATATATATATACTTAAAAACAAACAAACAATGTTGATGTAGTTGTGAGATTTGGCTTATAACTTACTGAGATCTAGAGCCAGTTTTTTTAAATTAAACAATAAGTGATTTTTATATAGTTTAAAAATTTTATAAAAAGAAATTTATTCTGCAGAGATATTAAAAAAATATATTTATTTTTTATTACAATAATTAAAAATTTCTTATTAATTAGTTATCTTTAAATTTTATGATATATTTTTTATTTTCATTTTATAAAAATGATTTATTATTTAATTATGTTAAATTTTTTTGATACTTTTATGTATCCTACCTTTTTTAAAACATTATCTTCTATCTATCATATTAGATTATTTTTAAAAACTACTTAAACTATCTTACTAAATAATAAAAAATCTGTTTTTTTCATATTCTGCTTATTTTCAAAAGTTTAAAAAAATATTATTAAAAATTATAAAATATTTTTTTCCAAAAGACATTTTTTATGAATTAAATAAAAAAAATAAAACTTTTTTATTCTTTTAAAGTGTAATCATTGCCTTTTTTTTAAGTGCTCCTATTAATAAATGACTTTATATTTATTATAAGGTGTTTAATAGGGATAAATATGAAAAGATATGATTAGTTTAAAAGTAAATAACTACTTTATTGAAAGGTAAAATTTGATTAAAAATATTTTATATTTTTAAACGGAATGAGTAATTTTTTTTTCATAAAATAAGTTGAAAACAAACGTCCCCCAAATCCCTCATATGCAATGCCCAAAAGATTCTAATTATACATACAACTTATTAGCAAATTGTTCTAGCAAAAAATTAATCAATTGATATGTAATTTTTGACAAGTTTATTTAATATATGTGTTGTTTGATGATTTATTCTTTTTTTAAATAGCAATAACTTTTTATAATAACTGAAAAAACCTAGCATATATTGGCTAAAAAATATACTATATCATGTTCTCCTTCAATTTAAAAATATAAGGTATTTTTTATCGAATCTCATTCTCAGTAAGGTAGTTATTTATTTTCAAACTAACCCTATCTTTTCATATTTACCCTTATTTAATAGGGTGTTTCATCCTAAAATAAATATAAAGTGATTTATTCAATGAGCATACTTTAAAAAAAAAGTAATGATTGTACAATTAAAAATACTTTACATTTATTTAACATTAAATTCTTAAAAAAAGTGTTATATTTTTGTACAGACGGAGTATAATGTTTATGAAATGCATAAAATACAAACAATCAAAAACAAATAATACAGCCAAGATGCGCTCTACGGTCACGCAATTCTAGAGCCATGGCTAGCTGATTTTACATATCAAATGATCACGAGTCCTTTTGTAAGGAATCAACGACCTCCAGAGAGTAAAGACTCGACAACTGAACAATGAGAGACAGATTTATCAAAGTAAGATGGAACGCAGGCAGTGGAATCACAAAAGCCATGAGAGCCAAATGATAACCCTCGAGAAGAATACAAGCTAAAGCAAGACATATCAGGTAAAGGCACTTCCCAGTTCAGATACAGCACCACTTGACGCATGCTTGGCCTCCTCAATGGTTCTGAACTTGAACACAAAAGTCCAAGTTTCAACACCAACTCTACCTCTTCTGCCGAATATTCTCTTCCTAAATTCCCATCCTTTGCTTCAATAATCTCACCCTTACTCCATAACCCATAGACCCAATCTACTAAAATCACTCTCTCTTCCTCACTTTCTCGTTCTATGGGTTTCCTTCCGCACGCAACCTCTAGCAGAAAAGCACCAAAAGCATAAACATCTGACCTTGTCCTGGCCCTCCCTGTTCTTGCCTGCTCTGGTGCCAGATACCCGAAAGTTCCCACCACACGTGTAGCTTGAGGATCACTGCCATGATCGTATAATCTTGCCAGACCAAAATCTCCTAATCTTCCATTTAATTCTGAATCTAGCATGATATTGCTGGCCTTTATGTCTCTGTGAACCACCACTTTTTCACATTCTTCGTGTAGATAGCGTAGCACTAAAGCCACGCCTTTGATGATTTTAAATCTTTGTGCCCAATTCAATATCACGCTGGGTTGGTTATGGATATATTTATCTAAGCTTCCATTTGGCATGTAATCGTAGACCAGAAGAAGCTCACCTCTTCGCCTGCAATATCCCAAAAGAGGTACGAGGTTTCGGTGGCGAAGTCGACCGATGCTCACAATCTCTGCAACGAATTCCCTCACGCCTTGTCGGGATTCATTGGATACTTTCTTCACCGCAACCTCGATTTTCGAACCTGGCATTGTCCCTCTGTACACCTTCCCAAACCCACCACAACCCAAAAGCTCTTTCTCCCCGAATCCTTTTGTGGCAATGTAAAGATCTTTGTATTTGAACCTGTGAGGACCATACTCTTGCTCCCACTCTTCGACAACCTCTGAAAATTTCCTTTTCCTGTACCTGTAATAAAATACAGATGAAATTACAAGAAAAAGTAAACAGTGTGATAGCAGAGACAACCCAATTGACAAAATCACGGATTGTTTTGTTCCTCCAATGATACGTGGTAGCTTTGGGAGTTGGGAGACATCAAGGTTTTGAGCGACCCCATTGAGCTTGAAGCTCCAACCGAGAACATAATGAGAAGTTAAGAGCGACCCCGCCGAAGATGAGAATCCAACATAACTGGAATAGGTTAGGACGTGAGAAAGATCTAGGGACAACTTTAACAATGGAGTTTCAGGCTTTTTAACATTGATTGGAGCTAGGGTGACATTAATTTGCTTGCTGCCTCCATCATAGTCCACCCAAGCCTGCATCGGAAGGCCACTGATAAGGCTCAAATTTTGAAAGTGAGACCCATTAATACAATAACTGGCAGGAGCAGATATGGTTGAATTCAAGCCGTTAATATCAATTCCGACATGATTGTTATCAATATCCCCGAACTCGCTGGTCTGCATGGTGTCGAATTCCGCTGCGAACACATGGTTTGTTGGGTCACCATTGGTGGTTTCATTAAAGAGGCCTATGTACTGGCCGGGACGGGCTCCTGGAAATGCTTTGGTTGGAGAAATTACAAAAGCAATCCCGTGACCACTCACAGCTGGATAAAAAGGTCTAATGGCGAAAACAAAAGTGGTAGAGAAAGAAGAAGTGTTGGTGAAAACAAGTGGACTGGGATAAAATGCATGGCCCACATGCATCTTGGTTTCGTTAGTGAGTTGGAGGAGGCCATTGGAGTTAACAGAAGCATCGCCACCCATGGTTAAATTAGCTGATCGGAATCCATTGAAGACGAAACTTGTATCATCGCCACTCACTAGTACCATTATTGCCGTCGTCATCGCCAACAAAAACAGTACCACCGTCGCCATGAGGTTCGCAGACATATGGGCTATGGCTGCCTCTAGATGATCAATGTCTTCTTTTAAGTTCTCTGCTATTTGTATCTGTTCATAGCCTATAGGTGTAAGGTATAAACACGTTCAGGGTTTCTGCGTTTTCTTGCGACGAACATTGAAGATCATGAAGAATCTTTTGGTCTCGTGCATGGCGTGGCTGGGGTCCAATGGTCGGTGACTAGGGAGACTTCTTGGTTGGTTCTTGCTGGCTTGCTATCTCTCACCATTCAGTGAACGGTCAGAATTTCATCTGAACCAAAGTTAGAATTGTCTGCTTGTATACGTGTCAGTGTCGTATTGTGAAAAACGTTCGGCCATCTTAAAGTTTAATATTAATCCATTTAACCAGTTTTCGTATTGGTCCATCCCTGCTTCATTTTGACCGGGTAGGACCGGACCCGGCCAAGAGACATCCTAAACATTCATAATTATGTAGCGGACTAACGTAGAAAAAGATGGAATTGGATTTAAAATTTCTTTGTGTGGGGACCCTCTCCAAATCACTGAACAAAGTTTGAATTTTCTCTGTTGTTTTTTTTTCAATTCTTTTTCTGGATCATTAAATGTTTTATAAGTCTTGGATGAATCTTATTTTTAAATAATATATAAATACAAAGTTTATTATCACTATAAAATGTAAAATCTATAGCAAGATTAATCATGCATAAGTTATCGATATATTCAATAATTTTTCTAAAGGCATAAAGAGAAAAAGATAATAGAAAAATGAATATCATGTCAATAGAATGTATTAATTCATAAATTATTAATTAGAAACAAAGATCAATTTGAGCGTTTGAGGTCTTTCAAAATTCGAAGCGTCATAGATATAGGGGATATTCTGATAATATATATATATATATATATAGGGGATATAATTAGTGATTCGCTCAATTCCTTTCCTCCACTCTCAATTTCTGAAATGTGAGTCAATTCGAATTGCAATATTTAAGCAATCTTTAATCCCTAAATTATCTCATAAAAAGTCTTAAGAAATTATATTTACATTTTAAATATTAAAAAGTGGCACTTAATAGAGGGGAAGAGAGATTTTAATGGAAAAGATGGGAAGGGAGGTAAGAAGAGAGATTTTATTCTTACCCAATTCAATGAAATTTATAATGGAAACTGGAAAGATCCGGAGGAGAATGATTTTAATACGAGTTTTCGTTTAGTTTTAAAAGAAAGGTTGGTATTCTATAAGAACGTTTTATGAGTCTAGAAAATTTTCTAATTTTGTAAGTTTCAACCCACTTAATTTTTAAAAAAAAACAAATGACAAATAATTAAAATGTATCCTTCTCTTTAGAAACCCCAATCCCCCTTTCAATTTTATTATTCAAACTCCTTCCCTTCATGTTCAAAACACCCAACCAAAAAAAGGGGAAATTATTACATTTAAAAAAAATAATCTTATTTTTAGTAATTCATCTGAAAAACAATATAATACCTCTTTAAAAAAAATTGAAGCCCTCCATTTTATGTAAATTGAAAGTTGACTGTGATTCACTTTTTTTTTTCCCTTTGTAATCTCCCTTTCATATTTCTTCATAGCAACATGTGAAGATGAAAGGATGCTTTTGTCGGATAAATTACAAAAGCCATTCCATGACCAACCAGAGTTCGGTAGATAGAAAGGTCTAATGGCGAAAACGAAGGCGGTAGAGAAAGAACAAGTGTTAGTGAAAACAAATGACCTATATATATGCAGCTTGGCTTCATGAGAGAGTTGTAGGAGGACATTAGAGGACGCAGAACCAAGACCATCTACAGTTAAGTTTGCTGATCGGAATCCATTAAAGACGAAACTTGAATCTTCGCTACTGATCACAACCACCATTACCATCACCACCAAGAAAAGCACCATCATCGCCATGAGGTTCTCAGACATATAGCTCTGTGCCTGTAGATCGATGTCTTCTTTTAAGTTCTCTACTATTTGTATCTGCCAGCTCATAGTTATAGTTTATTAACACATTCAGAGTTTCTGCATTTTTTTTGCGGCGATCATTGAAGATGATGAAGAATCTTTATGCCTCGTGCATGGCGTTGCAGACATTTATGTTAGGAAAAATTTCAGGGAAGATCCCTCGACTAAACTTAATTTTAATCAAAATCTTTAAAATTCTGAAATTTCATTACACATACAAAGGATTGAAATGAAGTTGGTAGGTCTGGCCAAAAAAAAGAAAATGAAGTTGGTAGGGGGTGTCCTCCAATCTTGTGATTCTTTTGGCATGACAATAACTTATTTTTTCGGCCAAAACACGACAATAATTTATGAAGAATTGAATCTTTATGTTAATTAGAAAAATCTCAAAATGACATTAAAAATATAAATAGAAGTGGGAGATATAAAGATGTTATGAACATGCATACATGTGGTGGTGACATTACTTAAAACTAGACTGGATCTCGTGCATAAGAAAATTGTAAGAAGTAATATAGATACCATTTAAGAAATTCCAGTTCATTTAATAATGTTGTCTTGTACATATTCATTTCTTAGGGTGAAAAAAAGGAACTAACATTATATTAATATTTTTAAAAAATTAAACACCTTTTGTTGAGGAATGATAGATTTTCTGGTTATGACTCATGTTACAATTTTGAAAAAAATATTTAATGTGATTAATATTAGATTTACTTGGAATGGCTAGTAGTTGGGTGGGGGCATGTGTGAGAGAAATTAAGTAGAGATTGATGCTTGTCGGATGGGTCCCCTCAACTTGGAGGTTGAATGGAACAAGTCGTCTTCTTCAGCCCAGAAAAGCCCGACTTCCCCACACGCCTTACGCGGGCTCGACGCTCCCATGTCACCTCCCCGTCAACACTCTCCCAGCCAGGCTGTGAGGGGGAGAGGAATGAAAATTAACATAGGATTAAAAACAAAATGAGGTAAGAATTATTTATTTAATCCTACATATTTAATATACTTAAATAATGTCTCCTTATATATTTCTCAAGATACAAACAATAGAATAAAAAAGGAAAAATTTATATACTTAGTATTAGCATTATGTATTTAGTGTGCTTATTTTTAATTTTATCCTTATATATATTTAGTATTATTCTTATTTATTTATAATAAATTCTTATTATTAATTTTATTAACACATTAAAATTATCATGATTTGATTGAATATAAATATATTAAGTATAAGTATATAAGACTAAATATATAAGTCTTACCCATATATTATTTTTCTCTTTAGCAATTCAATTATTTGTTTTTTAAAACACCAGAACTTCAACTATAGTTTGAAGAACTTGATTTGTGATATATAAATTAATTAATAATAAAAAATGTAATAGCTTATTTTGTATGCTATATTATTCATTTAGTAACATTAAAGTTTTTTACCAAAATTTAAAAATTATGAATAATTCTAAAAAATTTATTTAAGAGTGATGTCTAATTAAAACTCTTAAAAATCTTTACCTCGAAAAATAATTCCAAATAGAATCTGCTTTCTCATTGTGTTCGGAATTCGTGCTTCAATATTAATTTCCATTTAACGTTTGACTAGACCTTTTTAAGTTCTATATAATTACGTGATAACCATTTTCTATTACTTCAAAGCTTCCTGACACATTGGATGAGTGGATGACAAGAATTAGATGTATTGGAGCATATCGTTGATACTTCTCAAAGCCTCCACTAAGTTGTTGGTTGTTTATCATTATTTTTTTCCTATTAAACTTTCAAGAAATTTAATAGCTTTGTCAACCATTTGTATACTTCATTTCACAAAAACGACCGTATTCTTTTTTGCTTTCTAAGCCAATATCCCTAAAACAAAATACTTCCTGGCCTCCAAAATTAAAAATCTTATCGTCCTTTCTTTTTCTGTCCCAACAAAAATCCTACAATCTTTTAAGGAATATAATTCTTCAATAACACAAAAAAAAACTATAAAAATATAACAAAAAATAAGAAAAATACACTAATAAATCCTTACACTTTGATTGCATTTTGTTTTTAATCCTTATAGATTTATTTCATTGTTCTCAATCCTTTTGTTTGACCCATTTGCAATGTTAGCCTCTGTATAGTTTTAAAAATGCACACAAGAATTATGAACTGGCATGAACAAAGTTAATTTTGCTTACATGTATTTAATTCCGTTAACACATTTGTTAACATGTGCCTAATCTCACTTTTATCTCCCACATTCTCTCTAAGCAAAATATATATAATAAAAAAAATTTCATTTTCATTTTATTTTTAATCATTTCTGGCTAATTTATTTTCATGCCATCGACATATATTTTTACTATGTTAGCAAAGATGTTAGTATAAATTATTTCCATCAGTATTATCTCATGATTTTTATGTGCATTTTTAAAACCACAGGACAAATATTGCATGTTGAGTGTTGACCGAACTAAAAGGACTAAAAATAATAATATAATTAATGTGCGTGTACCTATTACTGTGTTTCGTAAAAAATATATATACATATGAAAAAAGATAAATCCAAGCATGATGGTACAAAGGTAATGCAACAAGCCGAAGAGTGCATATTCAAGTGAGACTGAGAGCTTGAGTAACTCTTCATAGGAATTCAACGACCTCCAGTGAGGAGCGATTCTTCGGATACTGAAGTGCGAGAGAAGTAGGCATCCACACTAGACGATGGAAAGGTTATTATAATGTCATCTTCAAACTCTCTATCACTCTCAAATGTAAATCCACAGAATGAAGCAGATGACATTAGTGACCACAAATCAGGCAAAGCCACCTCTCTATTCAAATATTGCACAACTTACGCATGCTTGGCCTATACTTGGCCTTGGAATTTGAACACAAAAGCCCCAATTTCAACACTAATTCTACCTCCTCTGTCCTATACTCTGTTTCTAAAATTTGATCCATTGCCTCCATGATTTTACCTTTCTTACATAACCTATAAACCCAATCCACCAAAATCACGCTCTCGCCATCACTTCCTCGCTCTATAGGCCTTCTTCCACATGCAACCTCA